TTCTGGTCGTTTTTGTATAATCTTCAGCAGAATCTTGCTTGTCATGAGAATTCAGATAACCTAATTTGACCAATATTTTATCTATAAATTCTGATATACTGTGACCAGATAACAAGTTGCCACTAAATAAATAATGCAGATCAACATAAAATAGTAGAAATTAAAGAATATTGGTCATCTGAAATTATAGGAAAATACAAAAACATGAGGATGATGACAAAGAGGAAGAGAAGTAAAGAACATAAAAATGATGAAATATTATACAATAAAAAACAATGCAGTAGAAGAATATTTAAGAGTATCAAAACTGGTTTTAACATATTAAATCAAATCAAGATCCAAATTAGTACAATATAGTATAATCTCCAGTACAATACAACCTCCAATGTATCTAGAGTAAATAGCATACAATTTAAATGTATTTAGAATATCACACAATTTAAATTTTTCACTCTTTTCTTGATTTCTAAAGGTTTTTATAATTAACATTAATTTCATTTGTTCTTAAATTATTTTAAGTAGATTTAAGTTAATATATATATTTTTTAGCTTAGGTTTAATGATCTGTATTTCACTTATTAAAATACTACAATCTTTTGTTTGTACTGCAAAATGTGGCTATAGTGTATAAACTACATTATGAGTTAAGGATGTGAACAAGCAAAGATAGAAACCTACCCACCATTGGTAAGAGGGATTCAGTGGTCAAATGTTCCAAGTTCCAAAGAGCCAATACAGCCAAGAATACCTACAATGCCTATTTATCAACTAGAGGCTGTCTATACATTCCCTTCTGCTAAAAATGTATTCTTATGAATAATTCTCCATTGTATACCTATACAAAAAAAAGTCACCTCTGTGCTTTGATCACACAGCACCAAGTTTCCCAAAATGTTGCTCTACTTAATTTTTCTAAAAGAGCTTATGAGTTTTTAGAATATCTACCATGCTTCCTCACAAATTAGGTGGTAAATGCAAACTTAATAGTCAATTTTTATGGTGAAGCATTATTATAATGTTTACCAATCTAACAATGTTATTAAAAGGCTTATTAACTATAAATGAGTTACCATCCAAAAGAATTACTAAACCGGATCCTTTATCTATGACATCAGCAACACTTGTTTCACATCTTAATTTTCCTGTAAGAAAAGGAAAAATAATAATTAATAAATCATTTCAAGTATAATAATATATTAAGAATTTGCAATAATTTCTACTTTAAGTTCAGTAAAACTGTTAATTTGAAAGGATTTTGCTGAACTAAAAAAAAAAATAATCAGCATTAAAATTCACCAGAATGCCTGTACCTCTAAGTTTTAAACATCAGTAATTGTTTAGAGTTTAAAAATATCAAGTTTCAATATTAATGAGCTTCCCCAATTCTGTGTCATTCAACAAACATTTGCTGAGCAAATAGTCAATTCCTTTTACATCACTTCTTCTCAACTCTTTGGTGGCATCAACAAGACAGTATTTCTAACCGTTCAGATTTTTTCAGGAATTACTCCTATCATTTAATTGGTGTGTTTCAGTGGATTCTGATGAACAAGAAGGTGATTCTTTAATCACCTTCAATATGCAGGTTGCACAACCTTGCTTGTTGAAGGGAAGAGGACTTGCAGCACATGCCAATGAAAATGAAAGACTAAAAAAAAAATAAAATAAAATGAAAGATAAGGGCAATGGGGAGTGCTGGTGGCC